CCCCTCCCACCTAAATTGTAAAGTTCGTTTTCAACATAGTGACTTGTACGTCTCATTGTTACAATGGATCAACCTGTATCCCTATTTAAACTTTTTGTTTTTTCCCTTCCACTCCCCAAATTATAGCAATATCAAATACAGTGAAAACAGGGGTTATACCCTGGGGGAGGAACATACAAAGCAACCAAAAAAAATTACATGGTACGTTATAAATATGTTAAAAACAAAAGCAAGAAAAAAAAAACCACTTGTGTCCCTGTCTTGGGGTTCATTTCGCTTAACTTCATCTTATCTGGTCATATGTATATAGCTTTTGACCTTTTCTACTTGTCCCAGACATATACTAATTAATAAGGGAAACCATGAGACCTGTTTCTTTGGGTCTGGCTTACTTCACTTAATATTTTTTCCAAGTCTTTCCATTTCCTAACAAATGGGGTAATGTCATTCTTTCTGATGGAGGCATTGAATTCCATTGTATATATAGTATATGAAGAATTTTAACTACATGAAAGGTCACAATTTGCCTTCTAGTTTTTTTTTTTTTCCTATTTATTTTTTGTCAGTCCTGAATTCAGGGCCTGGGCACTGTTCCTGAGTTTCTTTTGCTCAAGGCTAGCACTCTACCACTTGGGCCACAGCACCACTTCTGGCTTTTTCTGTTTATGTGGTACTGAGGAATTGAACCCAGGGCTTCATGCATGCTAGGCAAGCATTTTTACCACTAAGCCACATTCCTAGTCCTGCCTATTTATTTTAATTTTTTTTGTGTGTGCTGGTAATAAGGCTTGAACTCTGGGGCTGGGATCTGTCTCTTAGTACTTTTGCTCAAGGCTAGTGCTCTACCACTTGGGCCACAGCTCCACTTTCAGTTTTTTGTGGTTAACTGAAGAGTCTCGTGGACTTTTCCTGTGTGAGCTGGCCTTGAATTGTGATCCTCAGATCTGTTTCCTGGGTAGCTAGAAATATAGGTGGGAGCCACCAGCACATGGCTGTTTGCATTTTTTTTTTTAGGAAATTTATTTTTATAAGCCTATTGTTTTCTTATGGCAGTATAGTCCTTTAATAGATAATTTAGTGGTGGCAGGTAGAGGGTGGCTGTTATTCTTTTTTATGGATCCTTGCTTTCTCCCTTTTTACTTTGCTATGTTGTGGGACTTCTTATCTGAAACTTTGAACTGATGTCTCCCTCAATCATACATTCTTTCATTGTTGCCAATGATATAATTAGCAGCAATGTTTTCCCAGTGTTCTGGCAATTAAATGTCTGCTATTTTCATTCAGGCTTCAAATTTTGTTTTTGTTTTCTGTATCATTCAAACCTCTTTCTACAAAGACTCTCTGAGTTCTTACTTCCCACATCTTGAGTCTCCAACAGGAGGTGATGGTTTACTGGACATGGCACTTATATTTATTTTCTGCTGATTTTGTGCTTGTGGTTGCTTAATCTCCTAGAATTGCTGAATGTACAGATCTGGTGTAGGTTTGCTTGCATTCCTTGTACATTTCATGGTTTTCTGGTAAAGGTAAATAGGAAAATTCTGGTTCAGGTGTTTGAAATGTTACTCTACATAATTTATCTCTCTTTTACCTCATTTTAGGAGAATTATCTATATTAATAAGTAGTCCTAATTCATTTATTTTCATCTTCTCTATTAATTATGTAATTAATTAAATCTTCCATTGATGGTCACTTACACTAAATATTTCATTATACATAAAAGCTACAAAGAACATACATGTACATTTGTTCATACATGCATCTGGTTTTCCCAGAGCACTGTTTCAGTTGGTTTTATGATTCTATAAACAAAACATTTGAGGCTAGGTATTTTATAACAAAAAGATGCTTGTTTACCTCTGTAGATTTAGTTCTGGAGATTTAAGAGCAAGGCACTCACATCTATACAGCTCTGGAAAGGGCTACAAGGCAAATGCCATCACAGTAGGGAGTGTGAGTATGGAAATAGGAAACTCTGATCTCCAATGAAACAGTCACAGCCAGAAGTGGAGGTGCGCCTCAAGTGGCAGAGAACTAGCCTTGAGTAAAAAAGCTCAGGGAGAGAGTACAGACAGGCATTGAGTTTAAGGTCCAGCCAGGACAGGCACACACATATACACATTTATCATCAATACATCCTTGATTTGTTATTATCAAAGGCTTAGTTAATGGATATGACAATGTATTTTAGTTTGCATTTCCTCTGATCATTAGTAAAGTATGGTTTACTTTCCCTGTTTTATTATTGTATTAATTTTAGTGTGTGTGTGCGCGTGCGTGCGCACTGGTCCTGAGGTCTCAAGACTAGCATTCTACCACTTGATACACATCTCCACTTTTGTTTCTTTGATGAGTAATTAGAGATAAGAGTCTCACAAACTTTCTTGCCCAGGCAGGCTTCCAATTGTGGCCCTTAGATCTCCACCCCTTGAGTAGCTAGGATTACTAGTAGTCTTGAGCTACCATTGCCTGCATTATTTGTATAGTTTTTTTTTTAAATTTCTGTGTATATTCTACAAATGAATATTTTAAAACTATATTTTATATTTTCTAAATGTGTACCTTTCTTTCAATTAGCTTATCATATAGACATGTTCACATTTAATATCGACAAGTCTATCAATTTTTTTCCCATTAACATTTGGGTTTTTTATGCTTCATGAACTCTTATGACTATCAGCTATGAACATACACCACCTAGTATAATGCCCTGTAATAATGGTTTTTGCCTTTGTGGTTAATCCAACACTACAAACTCATATTTACAAATGATCCTTGCCTATTCAATATGCCAGCTTGGCATTTTCACAGTACATTTCACCACATCTTTGGAGATTATTGCTCACCACACCCTTCCATGTAGTAGCAAGATTTTCTTGTTAAAACAAACTATTTACTGTATTCATTCTCTGTGAAGTCTTCCAAGACATGGCTCCTGTTCTTACCACCAAGTCATATTCTGTCTTTTTTTTTCCAGACTAAATTTTTGTGTAAAGTATATTATGCAATTCAGATTTTCATCCTCAAAAGCTGGCTTTGAGTCGGTTTGCAAATACAATCTAATCTTGGCCTTTGTAGGTGACCATTTATTTCCATGGGGCACAAGGTATATATACATATACATACATACATGAATATAGTTAGGACACATATATATCTAGCTCTAACTCCATCTCACTTTCTCCAAATCTCTCATAGCTCTATACCCCCCCCCCCCCCATATACATATAAGAATCTTCACAAAACCTCTTAATGCATAGGAACCAAAGTTCTGGTTTGCAAGTGAGGTTCTGTGGGCATGGGGTGTGGACTGGACCTGCCTCCTTGGAACAGGTGCCAGGCGTGGCCCTTCTGACCCAGTTTCAAGGCAAGGCGACCTTGGGTTCGAGTCCACCCTTGGGTCTCGGCCACTTGGCCAAAGGTTGGGCCTCCACCACAGGGACTCGGGTCACACGTCGTCTCGCTCCTTCTCTTACTGGGAAGAGAGTCCACCACACAGAGACAGTCTCATATAAAAAGATGGATTTATTTGGGGAGGTGAAAAGCTGACCGGCCAGGGACACAGCACAGACTCAGGGAGCTGACATTGCCACCCGGAGCCTTTCTCAAGCTGGGGTTTTATTTTAAAGGCAAAACTCCCAAGAACCTGGTGGTTGAGTCTGGCCGCACGCAGGTGCCCATGGCATGGTCAGACACACAGAAAATCGGCGGGCAAACGGCACACGTCCCGCGGGGGTCCTCTTCCCGTAAGTCTCCCCAAATCGAGGAAGTCCTTTTTGGGAACAGCACGTGATCAAGCAAGTCAGGCAGTGTGATTAGAGCGGGTGGAGGAACTCTTCTGTGTTTCCATTCAGACGTCGGCGCGTTACTTTCAGCTCAGGGGATGGGGAGGCGCCCTCCCCCCTCCTCCCTGCCCCGGTGGAGGCCCCCCTCTGCCCCCCCCCCCGCCCTCCCTGCCCCGGTGGAGGCCCCCCCCCCCCGCCCTCCCTCCCTGCCCCGGTGGAGGCGCCTCTTCCCCCCCCCCCCCCCCCCGCCCTCCCTGCCCTCCCTGCCCCATGGAGGCCCTCCCCCCGCCCTCCCTGCCCTATGGAGGCCCTCCCCCCGCCCTCCCTCCCTGCCCCATGGAGGCGCCCCCCCCCCCCCGCCCGCCTTCCCTGCCCCGGTGGAGGCGCCCCCCCCCCCCCCCGCCCGCCCTCCCTGCCCCGGTGGAGGCGCCCACCCCCGCCCTCCCTGCCCTCCCTGCCCCATGGAGGCCCTCCCCCCGCCGGCCCTCCCTGCCCCGGTGGAGGCCCCCCCGCCGGCCCTCCCTTCCCCATGGAGGCCCCCCCCCCCCGCCGGCCCTCCCTGCCCCATGGAGGCCCTCCCCCCGCCGGCCCTCCCTGCCCCGGTGGAGGCCCCCCCGCCGGCCCTCCCTTCCCCATGGAGGCCCCCCCCCCGCCGGCCCTCCCTGCCCCATGGAGGCCCTCCCCCCGCCCGCCCTCCCTGCCCCATGGAGGCGTCCCCCCCCCCCCCCCCCCCCGCCCGCCTTCCCTGCCCCGACACCGAACGCCGGGTCGACCTCGGGTCGCATTCCAAGACACAGGATCCAGACCTTTCACTCCGCAAAGTTCTCCGGGGCCTTCTAGAACCTCCCCGGCCTCCACGGCTGCTTGGTTACCACACTGGCCCGGGCGGGGACCCACCACAGCAGCCCCTCGAGGCCCAGGCTGGAGGCCTCGGCTGGGTACCGCTGACTGGGGGCCACGTCGACCGAATAGTCGAAAGGGCAGACTCCCGGGGCGCCGAGACCACCGGGTGCCCGCCCCAGGCGTCCCCCGACTCCGCGCAGAGGTCGTGCAGAGAGAGGCTCGGCAGTCCCGCGCGGGGGCGCGCTCCGGCCCCGGCTCAGCCATGGGGCGGGCGCGCCGCGAGCGCTCCCGGAGCCGCGCGTCCCCGCCCCGCGGCCGCCGCCCCCGCGCATCGGGACTACATTTCCCATAGCCCCGCGCGGCTGCGAGCGCGCTCCCGGGAGCAAGAGGCTCCGAGGCTCCCAGTGTCCGTGGCCGCGGCCCCCGCCCGCCCAGACACAGTGCCTTTGAAACGCGGCGGGAGGCAGCTGGTGCGATGGCGAGCCTGGGCCGACTGCTGTGCGTGGTGGTGGTGTTCTGCTGGGCGCTGAGCCTCGGGCTGCCCAAACACCACAAGCGCGCGGTCAAGAAGCCCATCATTGGTGAGGATGCGGCGAGGGGCTCCGCGGGGGGGGGGGGCCGGGGTCCGCGCAGGTCCGCGGTCCGCGGTCCGCGCGGGTCCGCAGCTGGCTGCAGCCGGCTCGTCCTGCCCGGGAAACCCCCGAGGCCGGGGCAGGTGCGCGTCCGCTGTCGGGATGGGCAGCGCCTGCGGACGCCCGGGGTGGCACTGGCAAACCAGCCGCCGCGCCGAGGGGTTTTAGTTTTTGGACTCAAAGTTGGGAAAAAAGCAGCGAAGAACCCCGCAGACATCCTTCTCTTCTTCCTTTTTTCTTTTTTGCCAGTCCTGGGGCTTGAACTCAGGACCTGGGCGCTGACCCTGAGCTGCTTCTGCTCAAGGCTAGCACTCTACCACCTGAGCCACAGCACCACCTCCGGCTTTTCCTGTGTATGTGGTACTGAGGAATCGAACCCAGGGCTTCCTGCATGCTAGGCAAGCACTCTACCCTGAGCCACCTTCCCAGCCCTTTCTTTCTTTTCTCTTTCTTTCCTTTCTTTGTCTCTCCTTCCTGTCTGCTTTTCTCTTCCTTTCTTTCTCTTTCCCTTTTTTCTTTTCCTTCCTTCCTTCTTCCTTCTTTTCTTTTCCTCTCCCTCTTTCTCTCCTTCTTTCCTTCCTTCCTTCCTCCCTTCCTTCCTTTCTTTCTTTCTCTTTCCCTTCTTTTTTCTTTCCCTTCCTTTCTCTTTGTCTCTCTTTCTCTCCTTCCTTCCTTCCTTCCTCCTTCCCTCCTTCCCTCCCTCCCTCCCTTCTTTCTTTCTTTCTTTCTCTTTCTTTCTTTTCTTTCTTTCTTTCTTTCTTTCTTTCTTTCTTTCTTTCTTTCTTTCTTTCTTTCTTTCTTTCTTTCTTTCTTTCCTTTCTTTCCTTTCTTTCCTTTCTTTCTTTCCTTTCTTTCCTTTCTTTCCTTTCTTTCTTTCTCCTTCCTTCCTTTCTTTTCTTTTCTTTCTTTCTGCCCGCCAGCCTTGCCTTCCTTTTTCCTTTTTTTTTTTACGTAGACGTTTTCCAATCAAAGACAAGCACATCTTTTTTTTTTAAACATAGCTAGCAATTCCTGCTAGTTTGCATCTAGAAATTCTGTATGTACATTATACTTAGGAAAAACTTCCTAGTTGAGGGTGTATTTCACCATAGAGTACAGTATGCAGAAAAATGTAATAGATTACCTTGGACTTTGTCATCTTTAGCATCGTGGGATAGGCGGGGCCGATGGGAACCTAATGTATTTATTTATTTAGTTCCAGAACGGGGGTTTGAATTTAGGGCCTGGGCATTGTCTTTTAGCTTTTTTTGTTACTCAAGGCTGGTTCTCTACCACTTAAGCCACATCTCTACTTATGGCTTTCTGGTGGTTAATTGGACATAAGAGTCTTATGGATTTTCCTTGACCTGGCTAACTTTGAAGTGCATTCCTCAGATCTTAGCCTTCTAAGTAGTTAGGATTACAGGTGTGAGCCACTGGCACCTAGATTCTATATAATCTTCAAGTGAAGTACACATTTTTTTTTTTTTATTTCCTTGCCCCTGTATGTTTTCCAGAGAGGAAAATCAACTTTCATTCACAATGAAACAGACTTTTGAGAACAGTGTCAGCTAAAACTATCTAGGAGATACCAGCCTGAAATTAAAATTTGCCAAAAGAAATTTTTGGGCAGACAAGTAACAGGTTTTATCCCACCTTGTGTAGGATTTTTGCCATTTCTGCTATTTTTCCCAAGAAGCTGAGCACTGTATTCTGCAACCAAACTAGACGTTCATTTCATATATTTTCTTTAATTGTATACTAATTGTATTAATTAATTAATTGTATGCAAAACCATTAATTGTATACTAATATTTGAAGTGTGCAAAGCCTGTTTCCACAGCTATTTACAATGATGGTTAGTCTTCAAAGAACACTATGTAACTTTATGTAGTGAGTTGCATCTTGTTGAATTCAGGGAGGAGGAGGAAAAAAGACAGGAGATTCATTTCCTTTTCCTACTATCCAGAGTAGTACTAAATGAAAGACACAGAAAAGAAATATACCTCTGCTCACCCTGGTGGATTAAGACAAAATTGTTGACTGAGCACCAAGTATGTATAAGGTATAACTCTAAAAAGTGCAAAGAACTCTAAAACAAGCACCAAGGTTATGACAGCCATCAAAAATGGGAATGGGGTTTGCGTCACATGTGTAATGTCAAGGAATAGAGTTAGAAATGGGAAAAGTGAGTATGGGAGGAGCGGACAGGAGAGGAGGGATGCTTGTGCGATTCCTTCCTTCCTTCCTTCCTTCCTTCCTTCCTTCCTTCCTTCCTTCCTTCCTTCCTTCCTTCCTTCCTTCCTTCCTTCCTTCCTTCCTTCCTTCCTTCCTTCTTTCTCGCTGTCCCTGAGATTTTTCATTTAAGGCTGATGCTCTACCACCTGAGCCACAGCCCCACTGTAGGCCTTTTGATGGTTAATTGGAGATAAGAGTCTTACAGATTTTCCTGGTTGGTCTGGCTGTGAACCATGATCCTTATATTTTATATCTTATATCTTACAGCTTATTAAAGTTTAAGAACCCCTGAGGTGCTTAAACAAGGTGGTGACTGGCTGATATATATCTCCATCTTATTTCCTGGTGCTCTCTCTCCCTTCAGTGAATGTATTCAGATGGACTCCTTCAGCGTGCCAGGCTGGCTCACAACCGTTGTACTTGCTGTATAGTTGTATAGTTCATTTTCCACATAGTGCCTAGTATCACTCCTGTATTTGTTCACCCTTTGTCCCATCCTTTCTGTTTCCCACTATTATCCTCCCCCAAAAGATAAACTTACAAACAAAAGATTAAAAAAACAAAAGAACAGCAACAAAGAAAAAAAGCCTTTTGTTTCTATTTCTTAAGAGTTCATTTGGGTAAATATTATTTTATATGATCATGCACCTATTAAGGCTTTGTGATTTCTCTCCTAAGAATATCCTCCTTTGGTCTTTCTGTCTGAGTATCTAGAGACCTGTATAATTTATCATGTCCCTGTCTACAGGTAAACACACTGGATGATAAAAAACAAAAAATAGGACCCCTCTTTGGTTTAGTTTTTTTGTCCTTAGCACTATCAGACATCACACTGCATCTATACATATATTTGTATTTATATCTATATCTATCTATATATATAGTGTCTGTGCATTTTTCTTTTTCATCTTATTAATTATCCTTCCTCTTCTCTCTCCTTTTTTTTGGTCAGTCATGGGGCTTGAACTCTGGGCTTGGGCACTGTCCTTGTGCTCTTCAGCTCAAGGCAAGTGCTCTATCACTTGAGCCACAGCACCACTTCCGGCTTTCTAGTGGTTTATTGGAGATAAGAGTCTCACAGACTTTCCTGCCTGGGCTGGAAAGTGATCCTCAGATCTCAGCCTCCTGAGTAGCTAGGATTACAGGTGTGAGCCACCAGTGCCCGGCTTCTCTCTCTTTATACAGTAGAATTAAAGCCTCTCAGATCTAGGTTTGCATAAAGGACACTAGTGTCATTCTAATCTACTCTGGGAGCATAGTCTACCTGAGGTGGTGTGAAGTAGAAGTTGGCCGAGACTGAGCTCACCCTCCATTTCTTTCCCAAATTTTACAGATGGACTTGTCAAAGGTACTTCCTGTTTCATTCAGTAAATTAAGAGAATAAAATAGGGATACTGTCATGGTGATATATTTCAGTTTCTGAGAAAGAAGTAAGGGAGTTTGCATGAAACTAAGACTTTTTTTTTCAATGTAGGAATTGTGATGCAAAAATGCCAAAGTAAAGAAATGAAAAACCTTGGGAAATACTACCTTGCTGCATCCTATGTGAAGTATATAGAGTCTGCAGGTGGAAGGGTCGTGCCAATAAGGTATGTTACTTGTTTTGTACAGTGTATAAACTCTTTCATTTCAAATGAATGCATCATTCATGATTATCTCATTTCAATGTGGTAAGATTGCACCTGATTTTTTTTGCCACAAACCTAATGCCTCAAGACTCCCAGTAAACTGTTTAATGTATGAAGCAGTATATCTCTCAAGCCATCAAAAATGCTATACAAATTATGACTGAGAATGAAATGATAGCTTCTCTTACCAGAAAAAAATGGTCGTGACACCACGAAAGCAGTGAAATAACAGCATCTTGAATGAAACCAACTTTTTCCATAATTGAAAGTTAATGGAAAACCTAGGCAATGAAGATGTTTTAGAAGATGGCCATTAAAGTTATCTTCAGGTGGATGCTGGTGGCTCATGCCTGGTCAGAACATGAGGCCCTGAGTTCAGACCCTAGTACAGGCACACACACTTTATATTTATATTCTACGTTAGAAATGTAGATGTGACTAATGTACTGGTACTGCTTCATGTTAAAATGGCCCCATAAGAATAGTGCTTCGGGCTGGGAAGGTGGCTCAGTGGTAGAGTGCTTGCCTTGCATGCATGAGGCCCTGGGTTTGATTCCTCAGCACCACATAAACAGAAAAAGCCAGAAGTGGCACTGTGGCTCAAGTGGTAGAGCACTTGCCTTGAGCTGAAGAGCTGAGGGACAGCGCCTAGACCGAGTTCAGGTCTACGACTGGCCAAAAAAAAAAAAAGAAAGGAAAAAAAGAAAGAAAAAAAGAATAGTGCTTCACCTCCCCTGTTTTCATTTGGAAAGTGCTAACAAACAAAAATCTTATAAGTGTTTAAAATATATTGTTGCTAAAGTTTGTGGCTTAAAATCTCTGGGAAATTTACCCAGTCCATTCTTAATGATTTTTGCAAACAAAACTTTTTTTATTTTTTTCTGAAAACCTACTTCATAAATAAATACTTCTTAAAATTTATAACAAAAGAATTATACTGTTTCAATATAATATTAATAGTAATCAAAATGGTAATGTTATAGCTTAGGGAATTGTGCCAATGGAACAAGGTAAGTTGAGGGGATGGGTAGGGTGGGAGAGATGGGGAAAATAATGGAATGGGTGATATTTTTCAAGCTATATTGTGTTAGGAAAATGAAGAGAGAGGTTGAGTTGAGAGGAAGTGAGGAGAATGATGAAAGGGGCAGTCTCCATCAAGATGCATTATACTTATAAACCGATTTTGAATTTGTTGAATGATAACCCCTTTGCACAACTACTTAAGCATAATAAAATAGAATTAAAAATGCATTATACTCACAGATAAGTTGAATTGAAACCTCTTTGTACAACTACTTAAGGATAATGAAAAAATTGGTAAGCAATGTCTTACTAGATTTATTTTTTACATTTTGATTCACTGTATCTCAGATGAACATCTATTTATAATTTTTAAAATTGTTATTATAAATGTGATGTAAGGGGTTACAGTTACGTAAGTCAGGGAAAGAGTACATTTTTCCTTGGACAATGTCACCCCTTCCCTTGCTGTCTCCCAGTTTTCCCCTCCAGTCCCCACAACATTTACTTTTAATATGAGTCTTTATTCTTTGGGTAGAAAATGTGATTTTTCAAATGAAATCTTACTGAGAATCCAGATAATAGCAGCATTAGGGCTGGGGAAAAGGCTCCTGAGTTTCTTCAGTGCAGTATGTCAGGGTTTTGATGGTGGAAGTTTCATAATGCAGACAGTGAAGTAAGAGTATACTGCTAATCCTGTGGGTGAGGCTTTGTCAGGGAGACAAAAGTTGGTGTCTCAGCTCTGCGGGTGTTTCTAACACGGTGTAGAGTGGAGGTGGAGGGTGTGGCTTAGAGCCTTGGCTGTGAAGTTGGTAGGTCCAAGCTTAAAAAGAAACCTGTAAGTTGTGATGACTAATACAAACAAAAGAAACAGGAAAAAAAGAAATAGATGTGAGAGAAGAAAGTTTTGAAACCAGATGACTTGCAGAATACTAGTCATTATAACAGAGACACTGAAAATGGGACTATCGGCATAGAGGTTAACCTACAGCTTGGGTTTCCAAAGTTCACTGGAAGGAACTGGAATCGTGATTCCATAGAAACAATATAATACCTGGAGTTGAATTCCCAGACTCATCTAAGAAGGATTACCCACCCTAAGGTAGAACGGACCTAGAACGGACCTGGTGCCATCATCCCAAAACCGTGAGGTTTCTGCCTGTGGGCTGGCTGTTGGGCATCACACCTTCTCAAGTTTAGAAGGGAGGAAACAGACAGGAGACAGGAGACAGGCACAGTTCAGCCAGATGTGAAGAAGTTTGTGTTTGGTCCCCTCCTATTTTGTTTTTTGCCTTTGTTTCTCAGGTGCTTGGTGCCCCCAGGTTCCTCTGCATCCAACTGTAGGACTTGTGGGGAATAGATTTTTTTTTTTGGTTGGTCGTGGGGCCTGAACTCTGGGCCTGGGTGCTGTCCCTCAGCTCTTCAGCTCGCGTTCTGCCACTTGAGCCACGCACCACTTCTGGCTTTTTCTGCTCACGTGGTGCTGAGGAATCAAACCCAGGGCCTCATGCATGTAAGGCAAGCGCTCTACCACTGAGCCACCTTCCCAGCCCCAGGTGGGGAATAGTTTTAACTCACCTGAAAGATCACACAGCAGCCCATTAGCTGGCAGCTTCTGCTTTAAGAATGAGTTAGTCATAGTGTATTTTATGTCGTTAAGGAAACAATTATAAGTCAGAAGATTTCGTAAAAAGCTGAATTACCGGAGTGTGACTTTTTATAGAGGGATGGTGCTCTCCACTTTTTCATGGTTAAACTTTTATGACTGGTGCCTGCCATTCCTTGTCAGGCTATGAATGTATGGGTCACCTACCATCATTATTGGACTCAGCCATTTTCTCTTGGTGAAGGGGAAGGTGAAGCGTTTCTCAGGTCAGGAGGGTCTCTTGTATCCAGAAATGTCTGAAAATACACAGATTGTGTCTATGTGGAACCTGGTATATTCTTTACTGGTAGGCTTCTGAGAGGGATGAGATGATGATGCACTCCACAGTTAGACCCATGAACAGTGACACGTAGGACCTGAAGTAGTCACAGACAATGCGGGAGCCATTTATTTAGAATTGATGAAATGTCCAGAGCTTGTCTGTGCAGTGGCTTGACCCAGGAGTCCTTCCAGAACAGCTGAGAGATCTATAGATCTGTATCCCCTGGTAGTTGTTGTCTACCCTAACTGAAAAGACTGGGCTGGCAGACTACTGAGAACTGGTGTACTCAAATTTCACCTGCCTATCACTATCCAAGACAGGACCTCCTCCAGTTTAACCTACATTTAAGACAGAGATGAGCACCATTTCCCTGTGACCCATGGCTTTTGGCTCTTTGACCAAAGGAAATTTCCTTTGAACTTCTGAACAACAAACCTAGACTTGGACAAAGTTATTTAGACTTAAGGAGAACCCACAGGATTTTCTGGCAGAGTACAAGTAACTGTTGGCATCCAAGGTATCTGCTTGATAATGAGATTGGTATTCTGACTCCCTCTCAAACTGTTCTTTGGAATAGAAATGGGCTATAGTTGGCATAAGACTGTAAATCCATATTTGTGGAGAATGGAGGGGGCAGGTGACATGTTATTCTCACATAGATTCAGAAGATTGCTAAACACAGGAGAGCAAGGATTTCATAGACATTTTATTGATGCGCAAAACATCTTACTGTGACTTAATTAAAGGCCGTCAATTGTCATAGATAGTAACTCTGTACATCACCTTAACAATAAAATTAAATAAAACAATTGTCATTGATAATCTCTATCAGGTTTCCTCTAGGGATTGATAACAGGGTTATTGTTCGGAAGTTCTTTCCTTCTTTTTCTTTTAAATATTACAGTAAAGGTGATGTATAGAGGGGTTATAGTTACATAAGTCAAGTAATGAGTATATATCCTCTTGATCAGTTTCACCCACTCCCTCGTTCTCTTCCAGTTTTTCTCTCCTGTATCCCCTCTCTCCCAAGTTGTATAGTTGATTTCCAACATCGTGCCTAGTGGGTTTTACTGCTTAATTGGTTCAGCCTTTGTCCCACTGTTTCTGTGCTTCAGTGTTTGACCCAGGGAACTGGAGGATTGCTAGGCTAGTCTATCTATGGTGATCTATCTATTATGTACCATTAAATTTGAGCTGGTCTGGAGGTGGAAAAACAACAGTCCTCACATCTTCGCTACTAATGGGTGGAATTAGGTAGAGATTGGCTGCTGCAGCTTCTGCTTCTTTGTTTTTATTTCCCAGAGCTTCCTGTTGTTAAAGTGGTGTGATAATAAAGTTTGTTGTTTAGTTTTTACATATACTCTAACAAGATTTTAGAATTCTTTTATAGTTCTTTGCAAACAGAAATTGCTCTTGTCTAATTCTCATGGGCTTTTAATATTCACATCTTAGGACATACTTTTCCAATACCAAATTTCTTTAGTTCATTTCTCATGGTCTTTCATCTTTTGCATATTAGCACGTTCTGTACACGATTGAATGTCACTAGACCCCAGAAAGACACTTAATTGTCTGCTTAGCAAAACATGGATATAATGATGTAGCTTTCGTGGAGTTTGAAAAAAAAAATGTCTCTAGGAAGGTAGATATATAGTGCTGTCAAATATTTTAGAATTATTTTTTGATCTGGGTATGTAGTTCAGTGGTATTTTGTATAATATACAAGAAGCCCAGGATTCAATCACCAGTACTGCAAACACTTTTATTTGAGTTTTAAAATTAATATATTGACTTCATTTGGAGGTTTTCCCCTCCTAGGTTTCAGAAATGAGTGTTCAGTAATTTTTTTTTGTAAATTTTCAGGACTGATCTTACATTTGCAGAGTATTCACATATATTCCGATCCATCAATGGGTAAGTTGGCTTAATGCAATTAATGATCACTTGGTTTGACTACTTATTGGTGTCCACATATCTGTCCATTTTTTCAAAAAACATGTAAGTATTAATATGTGTTTCTATATAGTGATCAGAGTTCTCATATAACTATCATAAATATTAGTTTTCTGAGTTCCTTTATAGGAAATATTTTCTTGGGAGATGGTAAAAGTGCTGTGAGAAGTAGGAGTCAGGTTAGGAAATACATAATTAGTACATAGTAGACACAGGCAATTATTTTTACAAGTGCAGCATGATCTTTGTTCTTTTAATGCTTGTCTTAAATAATACTGAAGCCACTTTGAATTGTAAATAATGCTGCTTGCTTAGAGGACTTTAAGTCTTACATTTGAAGACAACTGAGTGGTTATCTTTTAAAGATAATTTCAGTAGAACTTGGAATTGCTTTTTTTAAAATCTCTACCTTCACCACAAAATAGAATTGGTTAACTTACAGAAGAAGACTTTTAATTATATGAAAAAAAGTTTTATATAACTCTTCATGTAGGGAAATATGGTTAATTATAGCAGTTAAACATTTTGACTCTCAGAATGGCAGAGATCAAAATATGCTAATCTTCTGTGGTGAGATAATGAGGAAAATATGAGTAGTCTTATATTCTATTAGTGGCAATATAATAATAATAATTACAGAGTTTCTCAGGGGCAGTTTTGCAATATGTGTTTCAGTTAGAAACATATGTCTTTCACTCTTCAAAAAGAAATTTACTCAATACCTGACATATAACTGTAACCTCTCTCTACATCTCCTTTACAATAAAAATTGAAAAAGAGAAATGCATGTCTTTTTGCCTTGGGAATTTTATTTAATGAATATATTACTTTCTTTATGTAAATTCTTAGACCTATACACAGGCACTGTATTGTTGATGAAAAGATGAAGTTGGAAGTTACCTGATAGTCTATCAGAACTAGTTAAATGAAATTGACTAAGTGAAATGAATTGAGTATTATGTCGGAGTTAACAAGGAGGATCTTTATAGATGCTGCTTTGGATTGTTGTTGTCTGGGGACAATCTTGTTATGTGAAAAAAAAACGAGGCACAGAATGGTGCATTCATTGTTTGTTTATTTTTGGGGTAATGGGGATGGCTAGTATTCTGCTACTTGAGCTACATCCCAGTCCTCTCTCTTCCTCATTTTTCCTTTTTTGATTTTGAGACAGGGTCATGCTACCTTTGCCCAGGGCACTTGTCCTGTTCTGGTTTGTAAGGCAGGGATGTGTATTCCTACCAACTTGGCACAATTATGTATATATATATATATTTATCTGCATAAATATATATATTTAACAAGTAAAAAATCCTTTTTTAGAATATTTAAAAAAAACCAGTGCTGAGAGCAGTTCTCTCTATTTTAGGGTCAGATTCAACCCTATTTTCCATTGCATGGTTGGAGAAATTATAGCACAGAATAAAGGTGACCAATGTTCTTCCATTTCCCCAGGCCTAAATGTTATATAAGGAGGTGACAACTCAGGACCTTCACTTTCACTACAGTTTGAAACAAGTTTGTTCCCAAAGAACAGAGGAACTACACCAAGAAGGAAGAAGCTGGGGTTTTTTTTGGCACAATATAACAGATTTTTTTTTTTGGTGGTAGTCTTGGGGCTTAAACTCAGGGCTTGAGCACTGTCCCTGAGCTTCTTTTGCTTAAGGCTAGTGCTCTCCACTTGAATTACAGATCCACTTCTGGCTTTTTTTCCCCTTGGGTGATTAATTGGTGATGAGAGTCTCATTCACCTTGCCTGGGCTAGCTTAGAACCATGATCCTCAGATCAGCCTCCTGAGTAGTTAGGATCACCAGTGTGAGCCACCTCACCCGGCTTGTAACAACAGGTATTAACAGCAGTTATTTCTGATTGGCAATAGGGTGAGAAGAAGTCTTACTTTTCTTGTAAACTATTTTTCTTTTTCTGAAGAGCTTTGTTATTTTACTTTTAAAAACCACCTTCATCTGTTTGGTATTTTTAAGCTATGTTCAAAAAATTGTCTGTCTTGGGGCTGGGAAGGTGGCTCAGTGGTAGAGCGCTTGCCTTGCATGGCTGAGGCCCTGGGTTCGATTCCTCAGCACCACATAAGCAAAAAGAAAAAAGCCGGAAGTGGCGCTGTGGCTCAAGTGGTAGAGCACTAGCCTTGAGCTGAAGAGCTGAGGGATAGCGCCCAGGCCCAGAGTTCAGGCCCTACGACCAGATCAAAAAAAAAAAAATTGTCTGTCTTTCATTTAGTTTGGATCAGTAAATATTTAGTGTAAAATTAGGTCAATTTAGTAAAACATTTACAATGTCCACATGGAAAGAGTACTTTGGAAAGGACAAACGTAAGTAATTCCAGGCTAGACTATAATAGAAGGGCACTAAAATAGGCTTTTGAATCACTTCATCTCTTCCAGTCTTCTCCCATTTCCTATTTGGAAAGGAATTTGAAGTAGTAGTTGTGTAAATGGGAATAAATATTTTTGGAAGCCTTCTTGTCCTGTTGTTCCATGGGAAGCAGCTTTGGTTCTTACTTTGACCAGAGGCCTTCTGCATCTATCTTCCACAACATTATCCTTCATTGACACCAGCTGCTCGCAGTTGTCCACAGCACAAGAATTGCATGCTAGGCTCTGAATGGGGGAAACTTGCTAAAATTTACTGTTTCTGAACACTTAGTCAGATGTAACTTCAGAATCACCTTTATTGAGCTCCTATTTTACAAGAAAAGAAAATGACAGAGCCTGCCTTAGGGGAATTTATCATCTGGGAGGGAGGTTCTAATGAGAATAGCTAAAAGAATTTGAGGATTAGAAACAGCAAATTTGGCCCAATGAAGCTTTTACAGTTCTGATTTTCCAGAACTATTGAGACTTAATGAAGTCATTTTAAATTGTTGGATTTTTAGTATGGTTTTGTGGCAGACCACTGAGGTATTTAAGTGTCTTCTAGAAGACTGATCTTCCTAACAGTTGAAGGGCTCATCTTTGTCTCAGGCTAATCGGTTGCCTAACTCAGAGAAGCACACAATATAGTTTTTTGAAGGAAAACAGTTTCAAAAGTGATCTTTCATGTATCTTTAATTCATATTTATGTATTTTCAGAATATTATATGTTTATTCGAACTTTTGTTGGCCGGAAAGGCCAGATATCTTTTGAATATCCTTAGTTATTTTAAGATCTAATAAGGTTTTATACATCTAGCTTAAAAAGCCAGCATCACACATAATTTTTTTTAATATTTCATATTTTTGATAGAATAAAAGAAAAGCAAATTATTGTGACTATTTTTTCCTAGACCTTTTGAATGGTCTTTGTTTTCTTTTCAAGGTTTTTCTATTATTGTGCTTCTTTCTGGAAAGATTTCAGGGTAATAAGTGTGTGTGTGTGTGTGTGTGTGTGTGTGTGTGTGTGTGTGTGTGTGTGTGTGTGTGTGTGTGTGTGTGTATACTCAAGGCTGGTGCTTGTTCACTTAGCCAGTCCTCAGTTTCCATGTTTTTGCTAGTAAATTGGAGGTAAGATTCTCTTAGATTTGTCTGCTCAGGCTGGCTTTGAACCAGGATCCTCAGATTCTAACCTCTTGGGTAGCTAGCGTTACACCACCAGCACCTGACAGAAAATAAAATTTTGTAGATATTTAATTACAATCTAAATAAAATTTTATGATTACTTCTTCATAGTTAAAAATATTGTGAATTAGGACTGGAGTCATGGCTTAAGTGGTAGAGCACCAGCTGAGCAAGCATGCTGAATGTAAGGTCCTTAAGTTCAAACCCTGGTACTGGAAAACAAAAGATATGAGTTAAAACTCACATTTGTAGACCAGTGGTTGATTTGATGTCACTGATAATCTTAGCTTAAATCTGTCTACAATGGCAATTTTGCCTCTATTTGATTTCTAGCTCTGGGTAGTCTCCTGTTCTCCTTTTATTTATATAATTGGTTCATACTCTGTGTCATTAAATAAAAAGCGAAAAAATGTTTTTAAAAGAATACACACTAAAGTGTTGCTAACAGCAGCAATTTCTAAATGACTAAGATAAAAACTTTTATGTATATATTATATGTGTATATATGCATATGTATCTGTGCCTTAATTTTCTGATTTTTTTTAAAGGAAAAATGTGTTTTACAGTGAAAAAGATTATGTTCTGTTTGTGTTCATGGGGGAAATGCATCTCACTGCTGTTGTTTCAGACTCCTTTTACCTGGAGGAAGTGTTAGCCTTGTACACTCAGAATATGCCCACGTGGCTAAAATTTTTTACAAGATGGCCATACAGGTAAATGTCTGTGATTGTATATTGTTCTAGAGAAGGTTTTGTGGGCATCTGGGAGGATGATTCTGCTTTTAGGCATGTGGTAATACTCTCTTAACAATTACCCAGCCTACCCCTCTCATCTTTTAGGCACCATTCTCCAGGCAGCACAAAGTGCTTCCGCCTGCCTCATGCTTCATCTAATTAAGGTTTCTTGGTGTGAACTACAGCCTTGTAATTCTAGGCTTAGTATTTCTAGTATTTCTCTCTAGCCTATTATCCTTTCATTTTGCACTGAGCATTATTCGTCCATGAGTAATTCTCACTTTTAATATCTCATTCTAAATATATCTCACATTCATAATAAAATAATCATTAAAAAATCTACTCTTTTTGCCAGTTCCTTCAATCCCATTGACTTTGCTTTTCAGTTACCTGTAGATAGAAAAACATAGCTTTTCTTCCAAAAGGAATAAGAGAGGATTTATTCTGAACCCAATATGAGTGACCAAAGCCCTGGAACACAGAATATATAAATAATATATTCTGATGTAGAAGAAGGCACACTAGCTTTTATAGCTACAGAACAGAAATGCATCATAAATTAATGCTTTTTCCAACGACATTAGTGGGAGCATAGGTAGGCAGGCCACAATATAGTATAGAAACTCTTCTACAGGTTTCAGATGTTAGAACTTTCTTAGCTTTAGGGTGGAGGGAAGCTAGAGGTCTAAGTTTAACAGTACATTCCAAAAGTATTATCTTGGACTCACATGGATGGTCACTATATATATATATATATATATTGATAGTGAGTGGCTATTAAAAGATAACCCCATATAATTTTGGCTCTTCATCTGTAATATTTCATCTGCCCTATTATAATATTCTAGTCAATCAGTCTGTAGGCTCTTCAACACAGATGGGGTTTCTTTGAAAATCTTTACTTCATAAACTTAGGCTATATTAATCAAACATGAAGAGCCACTGGCTATTTCTTTGAAAATGCCCACATTTGGCTGGGGCCCAGTGGTTTACTGCTGTAATAACAGAGTACCCAGGAGGCTGAGATCTAAGGATTTGAAGCCAGCCCAGGCAGGGAAGTCCATGATACTGTTACCTCCAATGAACCAACAAAAAAGCTGGAGTGGAGCTGTGGCTCAAGTAGTAGAGTGCTAGACTTGAATGCAGACGCTCAGAGACAATGTCAAGGCCTGAGTTTAAGTCCCAGAATTGGCACATGAAAAACGCCCATATTAGGTCTGCCTTTGAACCCTAACTTACAGTCCTTACTCTTCCCCTTAAGTATTAACCTCAATTTTATAATTAATCTTGATGGCTCTACTGTCTTGCTAACTCTCTGTTAAGTATTATCGTAAATAACTACTTTAATATTTGAAACATTGGTTTAATAACTTTTAATAGCTAGATTAAATAATTCTTGGCCTTTTCCAGCCTGTCTTAGGTCTTTGATCTGATAGTGTATTTATGGATCCTGGAAAATTTCACAGAAATCTGTGCATGTTTATCTCATGTGCTGGCTGGTAATGAGAAGCCATATATATAATTTTTGTTTAAAAATTTCTTTTGAGTAAGCTTGGTTTTTGCTTTCTCTCTCCAAAGAGTTTTGATGATGGAGACTACTTTCCTCTGTGGGGTACGTGCCTTGGATTTGAGGAGCTTTCGTATCTGATTAGTGGGGAGTGCTTACTAACTCTCACAGACACTTTCTCAAAAGCATTGCCGCTGAACTTCACTAAAGGTGAGAATTCTCTTTCAAACTCTTTATTGTCTGCTTAGGGAATAGGATTGGTTAGCAGCAAGTATCAAAGTCACATATAATGTTCCCTTCTAGCGTATTTTACCCATGCCAAAGGATGTCCCTGAGGATGACTTGAAGAATTCTCAATTAAAAAAAAATCTTTTTGATTGTTTTATTTTTGAATTAGGTCCCATTTGTAATATGAGAAAGGGTTTGTGATATTTTCACACATGCACAAAAGTTTACTTTGAACAAATTTCCCCTTCCATCATTTTCCCCTTCCTCTCCTCTTTTCTCTACCCCTTTGGGATATATTAATTACATTATATATGTATATATAAGCATATGTGTGTGTATTGTACATGGACGCAGAACCCTCGAAAGACCACCAGAGACCATGACCAATACAAATAGCAAAAGAGTCATTTATTTGCAAGCTTGAGCTTGGTCCTCCGCGCACTTGGTAACTGGTGACGCTAAGAGGCCCCGAGCACAAAATCAGCACAGCTTTTATAGTATTGAACAAACAAGTTTAGGGAATTTCCACACAAGCAGTTACATAATTGCACTGCCCTTTTTCTGAACTATTGGTATGTTCTGTTTCTGAAACACTTGGGCAGCTGTTCTGCATTTTTAAGGGTGGGCAGGGTTGGTGGCAACCTGTGATTTTTTTCTCTTTCTTTCTTGGGGTTACTCTGAGGGCAGCCTAGCTCAAGATGGTGGGGTTAGCTCTTCATGTGTGTGTGCATGCATAATGTCCTTTGATCCTCTTCACCCTTCAGTAGCTCTTTCTTCCTCATTCTACACTCTCACTATTCTGCCCCCATACAAGAATTTTAAATGTTGATAACTCATTGCTTCTAGTTATATACAAGACCATATATAATTAAGAACTGGAAATCGGTCCTGGTTTTGAGTCCTCAGTCTCTCCCTACAGCCTTGAACAATTATTTAATGACTTTTAGCTGTAAATTCCTCCTTGCAAATGGACCTACCTCTTAGAAGTTTTGGTAAAAATTAAAATAGGTGATTTTTCTTACCAGAATGCTTAATACTTCTTAACTATTAGAATAGTTTTAGCTTCTCCCCATTGACTGTATACTTTGTGTCAATTCCCACAGGGCATAATATAATTTAATTCACTAAGCATATGGAGTTATTATAGCTCTTATAAGGTAAAGGACAAAGTGCCCAATAAGATTGATATTATACTCTGAGAAAAGAGAGAAGCCACATTTTGGGAGGTCAGATTGGAAGTGTTTCTAATAAAGACCAGCAATCACAGATGGATTCTTTTTCACAAAGACCTGCAACCCTGTGAATACACTTAATACTGTCAGAAAACTGAGCCATGAGAACAGGAGAGGAAAGAAAGAGCAGAAAAACAATACCAAGAAACCAGATCAGCTCTAATGGAAAGCTGGAGTGGGATGCAATGTTGACCAGAGGAGAGCCAGGAAACAAGGCATGAATAGATAGGAGATATGTGTGGCATGGCATCCTTTTGCCTGAGCTGGTCTGGGCCTACATAGGGTCAGGTCAGGGGACAGGGTTACAGGGAGCTTGAGAGTTCATGACCCAAGACTGGCAGGTCAGTAACCTGTCCAAGTCCCCGCCCAAGCCTCTAGGTGTTCAGGCACACCCATCACTTGGAAGGTGGGACTTCCCTGACTCTACCATGAAGATACCAGTTAAACCCAATATCCTATTATCTACCATGTGGCCAATGGGACCCATTACATTCAGCATCCTTATTTCAGTAAGCCACAAAAATCACAGCCGTATGCTACCACTCTTATTTATTTATTTATTTATTTTTTGGGTCTGGTCGTGGGGCCTGAACTCTAGGCCTGGGCCCTGTCCCTTAGCTCTTCAGCTCAAGGCTAGCACTCTACCACTTGAGCCACAGTGCCACTTCGGGTTTTTTTCCCCCCTTTTTGCTTATGTGGTACTGGAGTAACAAACCCAGGGCCTTATGCATGCAAGGCAAGTGCTCTACCACTGAGCCACCTTCCCAGCCCCCACTCTTCTTTCTAACTGCTACCTATTTGTAATTCCTAGGACTCCTCACATTTCCTAATATATTAGAATAACTCACAGACCTCAAGAGAGTGCTGTATTTGCTTACCAGCAAGGAAACACAATCAACTTTGGTATCTAAAGTTTTTTATTAGTGCTTAATCACAAAAGCATGATTGACTGAATCATTGGCCACTGGTGAATTCACATGCCAGCCACTTTTCCATTTGTTAGGAAAATGAAAGAGAACAGAAAAGGAATAGGACTGACTTGATTGTCAACAGGCTAGAGACTGTTTATTGCCAGTGAGGGGCACAGACCTTCCCATGGGTTTGGAGGCTGTTCGAGGTACTGGATTTTGAGGTAGGTTTATATAATCTTAACAAGGAAGCAGAAAATAAAAAAATGGTCTCTTAGAGGCCAAGGGTGGTGTCTTTGGCTAGGCCTAGAGTGGAATATTCTACCTGGGGTGGCTATTGTCTCCTAGGGGCCAAGGTCAGAATGACCTTTCAGACAAGCACAGGAGCATACACCTGGTGCTTTGCTTGATTAGGCAGTAGACAGTCCTTCACCATTCCCTATAATCAGAACTTTAGTCATTTCATTAGCATAATAGCAATATCATTCTTACCATTCCAGTAGTTTTAAATACCCTTTGTTAGACACCTAGAACAGAGACCAGAGATTCTTTATACCTAGCAGTATAAGGAGCCCCTGGGTCCTCTACCTTATGTCACCACTCCCTCTGGTACTACATTCCTTGCTAAGCCAGTCCTCTGAGCCTTACCTGGTGGAGAGGAAGGCCTGGGGCTGCTGAATTGCTGGATGGTGTGAGCACAAGCAGATAATGATCCCTGATCATTGTAGTTTGGTTATCTGATCTCTAGATCTTCATGTTGTAGTGCTAGGAACTGTTTCTGTTCTCATATAAGGCCTTTGGAAGGAAGTAATAGTAGTTATACATAGAACCTAAGGAATGCTTTACAGTTTTTTTTGTATGTGTGCCAGTCTTGGGGCTTGAACTCAGGGCCTGGGCCCTGTCCCTGTGTTTTTCCCCTTAAGGCTAGGACTGTCTCCCTTGAGCCAAGCTCCACCTTCAGCTTTTTTTGGTGGTTAATTGGCTATAAGAGTCTCATGGATTTTCATGCCAGGTTTCAAACCAAGATGCTCAGATTTCAGCCTCCTGAGAGCTAGGATTAAAGATGTGAGTCACCAATGCTTTAAGCTCTCTGAAAACTCTTTCTTCCATTATCTCACCTTATCATTGCAAGAAATGTGTGAAGTACATGTTTTAGGTCAGACTTTTTGGTGCCATGTTGCAGAAACCCAGTTTATGCACAGAGTGCTGGAAGGTACAGAAATTCTCTTGGGAGCCATTAGGCCTCTACTGGAACAGTTAGCACCAAGGCTTGAGCACATCAGGACTTTAAAAAAAAAACTTTCCATTGGTATTTTACTCTATATCTCTGTCTATAGTAAAGTCTTCACAGTTGGCAACTACAGTGTAATGCTTCTTTGATCTGTTTACTAAGTACAAAGATTTTGGCTTGGTTAATATTCTTCTGTATGTACATTGCTGATTTCCTTCTTCCTTCTCTCCCTCCCTCCCTCCCTCCCTTCTTCTCTCTCTCTCTCTCCCTTTCTTTCTTTCTCTTTCTTTCTCTTTCTTTCTTTCTTTCTTTTTTTCTTTCTTTCTTCCTTCCTTCCTTCCTTCCTTCCTTCCTTCCTTCCTTCCTTCCTTCCTTCCTTTCTTCCTTCCTTCCTTCCTTCCTTCCTTCCATTCTTCCTTCCTTCCTTCCTTCCTTCTCCAGATACTTTTGAAAATGCATTGGAAATTTTGGATTCTTCCTTGGGAAAATAAATATACACACACTTGGAAAGTTTTCTCTGCTTTTCAGAGATGGAGTTAGAATTATCTGCTTATATACAAGGGTTTCAACAACCCTACTTCCTTGCTGACATTTATTACTTTCCACCTTTTTGACTGTAGCCAAATTTGTAAAGTTATAGATGCAAACTGGTATCTTATTGTAGTTTTAATTTACATTTTCCCACTATCTAACCCACCAAAACTTTTAATCTACCTATCAAGGAAAAAGATTCTCTGGTTAGCCTACAAGTTCTTCTAAGCAGAAAAATGTCATTTATTTATACTAAAATGTAAAGGAAAGGGACTTACGTTTGAGCACTTATATTTGCATATTTTGTGCTCGACTGGAAATCTTGCTTGGAAATGCCATCCTCTGCTTATCCCTTAGTCATCTTGATTATGTCTTCATAATGACTTCACTGGCTACAGATAAACTGACTTTTCTTGTGTTTACATTATTTTAGGTGCAATACAGAGCAGAATGTTCCATAATTTTCCTCCTGACTTACTGCTATCATTAGCCATAGAACCTCTGACTGCAAATTTCCACAAATGGAGCCTCTCCATGCAGGTATCACATCAGTTACTCAATGACTTCAATATTCTTTGAGCAAATAACAGAATTAATCATTTGTTTTATTTTTGTATCTAGAATTTTACAATGAATTCAAGGTTAATGAAGTTTTTCAATGTGTTAACTACAAATACAGATGGCAATCTTGAGTTCGTATCATCAATGGAAGGTAAATGTGTTGCTTCAGGGATAGTTTGTTAATACTTTATTACTTTGATTTTATCTCTCTCTGGAAATAGGGTCTCATTCTATACTTCAGGCTGGCCTTGAACTCTTGATCTTTTTGCCTCCTCTTCTTGAGTATTGGGATTGCAGATTATGTATCTCTTTCCTAATGAATCAAAGTATCCTGAACAAGAAATTGGTGCATTTTTTGGAAAAAGAAGACATGCGCATGTTCTAAATGAATTCCAGTTTACCTGGTTATTTTGTAGAATGAGGTAATGAAGAAGAAACAAGAACTTAGAGGAGAGAGGATGAAGAAATAAGCACTGAAATTTATTTCTGTTTCTAGCTGTTTTATACACATAAGTACTTTGATGCTGTCCAGAGAATAACAAAAAATGTGGCTTCTAGCGAAAAACATGTTTTACAAATATATTGATGCAGTAGGAAGAAAAGGAGGTTATTCAGGGTCACTTGCTGATTTTTTTTGTTTTTTATTTTTTGGTTATTACACTGATGCTTTTACTGAGGGACTGGATGCTGTCCTTTAGCTTTTTTGTTCAAGGCTAGACCTCTACTACTTGAGCTATAGCTCTACTTCTAGCTTTTTTGGTGGTTAACTGGAGATAATAATAATGCCATAGACTTCCCTGCCCAGGTTGGCATCTAACCACTTAGAATCCTGAGTAGCTAAGATTATAGGCATGAACCATTGGCACCTGATTTACCTATAGCATTTATATCAGCATTACTGTTAAATGAGAACTTGAGATGAAGCTAAAGACAACCCTTCGTGGAAAGAACTTATGGAATAGGATTTGAAAGTCTCCGACTGTGATATAAGGGTAAACTTGGAATACACCAAAGGAGAATTGCACTGAGAGTGGTGTGGGTAGGGTGAATTAACCTGGAGTACTCATAATGATAGGCTAGTCTCCTAGTGTTATTACATCCTGCTGAAGTTGAAAGTTTGTTTAAAGTTATCTCAGAGTGGTAGTATACCCACAGATATGGCTCCGTGGCATGTTGACACTTGAGGTTTGGAGGAATATGAGCAGTCCATGGACAAAAAGCACTAATGTACAAGGAAGCAAATTGCTATGTATGAGAACTTAGAGGAACACCAAGTAGAGCTGAAGATGTTAGAATTAGGGCTGGGAAGGTGGCTCAGTGGTAGAGTGCTTGCCTCGCATGCATGAGGCCCTGGGTTTGATTCTTCAGCACCACATAAGCAGAAAAAGCTGGAAGTGGCACTGTGGCTCAAGTGGTAGAGAGTTAGCCTTGAGCTGAAGAGCTGAGGGTCAGTGCCCAGGCCTAGAGTTCAGGCCCCCAACTGACAAAAAAAAAAAAAAAAAGATGTTAGAATTATGAGACTTAGTATAATAGTAGCTTAGTAGCTTACAGTTTATTTTAACTTTTAAAATGAGATTTTTTTTTTTTTTGCTAGCTGTGTGGCTTGAACTCAGGGCCTGAATGCTGTCTCTAAGCTTTTTTTTTTTTACTCAAGTCTTGTGCTTACTGCTTTGAGCCACAGCACCACTTCGGGTCTTCTGATGGTTAATTGGTGATAAGAGTCTCATGGACTTTCCTGCCTGGGCTGCCTTTGAACCATGATTCTCTGATCTTAGTCTCCTGAATAGCTAGGATTATAGTCATGAGCCACTGGTGCCTGGCTAAAATGAAAACTTTTAAAGTGAAAATATTAACATGAAACAGAGTTGGACTAAGCTCAGCTATTAGAAGTTAAAAATAAGAGCTGGGTGAGATATTAGAGTTGAAAATAAGAGGTGTCTCATGCCTGTAATCTTAACTACACAGGAGGCTGAGATCTGATGAGCATAGCTAGTCTTGGCAGGGAAGTGCATGAGTCTTATCTCCAATTAATCAGCAAAAATCGTAAAGTGAAATGTGGCATAAGTGGTAGAGTGCCAGCCTTGAACAAAAAAGCTTAGACAGCTCCCAAGCCCTGAATTCCAGCCCCATTACTGTCACAAACAAACAAAAAAAGAAAGAAATTAAAATAAAAAGCCTTAAGAAGCAGCTTTGGTATAAGGAAAGATAAGTAAACTAGAACAGAAGGTAGATCTGAAGGAATAACATAGATACTAGTAAAGTGTGTTGATACAAAGATTAGAATCTGGAGGCTAGAGTTGAGTCTTCTAATATACCAGCCAAAACTCTGGAAGGAAAAGGAAAAAGTAGTACAGATAGACTCCATATTAAAAAAAAAAAAAAAAAAGATGAAGCCAAGTTCCAGTGGCTCGTGCCTCTAATCCCAGCTACTCAGGAAGCTAAGACCTGAGGATTTGTGGTTCAAGGTTAGCCTTGGTGAGAAAATTTGAGAGATTCCCATCTCCAAATCAACCAGCAATAAGTCAGGTTGGGGATCATGGCTCAAGAGGTAAGAGTGAATACCTAACAAACATAGGTCTGGAGTTCAAACCTTAGTACTGCCATCAGTCAATCAGTTGAAGAAAAGACTCAAGTGGAAAAGAGAACTAGAAAAAGATTTTGGGGGAAATAAAAGAAAATATAATGATCTTGTGTAAAGGCAGGAGCTTTAAAAAAATGAAATACAAACTATAAAGGGAAAGATGGATGAATTCAACCAAATTAAGAAGTGGTGTTCAACAAAAACACAGATATTTATAATCTGTGTAACTGAAAAGGAATCTATGTATTAAATATAAAGCAAAATTGTGAGTTAAGTAGCAAAAAGCAGCTTATTACACATGAGGAAAAGGTCTGAATAGATACTTTGGGAACAAACTTTAGGTATCCCGTACATACATGGTTCATGGTTCAGGGAGAAGAGTTGCTCAGTGTGATCTTAATTGGGGGCATGCAAATGAAGGGCACAGAGGAAAACCATCTAATACCCACATGATTGCAAAATTGGGTCTGTTAGTTACAGATGCTGTCCAGGATGTGGCACAGCATGCATTTGTGCATGTAGGATGGGGGAGAAAATATTCTGGCATTACTTTATCAAATTGAACATTTTCTAGTGTTATTTTCCAGGAGCTCAGTTCCTTGGTTTAAAGGTATCTCAGTGAAATCTCCCTGTGCATGAAAATGAAAGTGTTGCTATTATTTATGTTGGCCCCTAAGGGGAGACAATACAAATTGTTGTCAGGGCAGAGGCTAAATAAATGAGTGTACTGGAATATTGTGCAGCAGCTAAAGCCACACACCACATTCTGCAGGAATGTCGGAACAATTTTGATTTAAAGGAAACCTAAGGGAACATATACTCTGTTGGTATATTGTCATTTATGTGGTGATCAAAACTTGACAAAAAAGGAAACTATAGAGATAGAAAGAAAGAGGTGATGGGTAATTTATTGCAGTAAAACTCTCTAGGTTGACAGGAACATAGTACAGTGTCAGGGGATCTTTTGGGGACTTTTGAATTATCAGTCATGTTTAATGTTCTGATCTGGTTAATGGATAATTAGATAAGCAGGTATCCATTTTGTTTCCTAAGCTGTGTATGTATGTGTGTGTGTGTATAATTATATATATGTATATAAGCATATATATTTATATGTGTGTGTTTTCTCATATTTTTTTCAAATAAATGGTTTCATTTTTTGCAATTTTAGAAATTTTAGGCAAAGGAAAGAGCTGACACAAATAAAAATTAAGAATAATATAGAGAAAATAGTGGTCATTATATGACCTGAGCTTTTATCACCAATTAACTCTATATGGTCCATGAGTCACAGTAAGAAAAATTAAAACCTAATGGATAATGATGCCTTAAAGAATTGTCCCAGAAGCTGTTTGTCTTTCAATAAAAGTCATGTTGAGCACTGGTGGCTCATACCTCTAATCCTAGCTACTCAGGATTGCAGTTCAAAACCAGTCAGGAAAGTCCTGAGACTCTTATCTCCAATTAATTAGCAAAAAGCCAGGGTGGGAGCTGTGCCTCAAGTACTAGTCCTGAGCAAAAATGCTCTGGGACAACACCTAGGCCCTGAGTTCAAGCCCCAGTACTGGTGCGCATGCATGCGCAGCACACCCGCACACACACACACACACACAGTCATGTGGAGTTTAACACAGTAACATTCATTTTTTCAGACTGGAATATTAGCTGCAAACAGTGACACATATTAGTAAATGTTAGTAAACCTGTTAAGCTGTTAAGTATACTCTATCCAGGCAGTTTCTGGTGAGGTAGAATTAAATGCATTTTTTTTTTTTTATGGCCATAGGATTTGAACTCAAGGCCTCAAGATTGCTAGGCTAGCGATCTACCATTTGAGACATATTTCCAGTAAGGTAGAACCACATGAATATTTAGAATGACTGGATATGTTAGGAATTTTGTTAAGATATACCAATGCTTTTCTTTCTTTTTTCCCTTTGCCCTTCCCTGGCAGCACATGGGGATTGAATTCAGGCGTCATACCTGAAGGCAGAAATTCTACCACTTAATCTATATCTCCAACTCCTTTTGCACTGATTATTTTCAAGGTTGGGTCACCCTTTCTTATGCCAGGATGGCCTAAGCTTCCTCATGACTGGGAATGACAGGTAAATGCCCCTTCACCCAGCTACTGTGTTTTCTTCATAGCTGGGTTAACAGATACATTCCACCACACCCACCCACCAAGCCATTAAGTTGAGATGGCTGGGCTGACTTGAACAGCTATTCTCCAATCTCTACCTCCTAAGTAGCTTGGATTTGAAGACAGCCAAAGAACCTGCTAGGTTTTTTATTTTTTCTACTAAATATATGTCTGTCTGTGCGTACATATACCAGTCTTGAATATTTCTTTTGGTGTATTGCTTTTGGGTCTTTATGTCCAAAGAAGAATGTGGTTGTATACAATTAACTAGGTAACAATAAATGCCTTGACATGCATAGATAGGTGATGATTTACCTGGAAGCCCTAAGAGGAAATGTTTTATGGACTTTGTCTCCTATCTCTCCCAGAAGGACTGTACACTTACATGGGATCTCTTGTGAACAGAGCTTGATGGGAAGGGGCAGACAGGGAGATGCTGGGAGAATCTAGAAGTAGGAAAGGTGCCTGGCAAAGGAGGGGTGGGAGTCTCCTTCTATCTGCTTTGTGTGCCAGATGGACTTCTTGCTGTTGTCTTTGGCTGGTGAGGCTAGGTGGAGCTACCCGGGAGACAGGGTGCTGGAATAAAAAAAGCTAGAATTAAGTAGGATTCAAAGATTGGCTGTATTATTGTGTTTTAGTCAGTTTTCTGTTGCTGGATACGAGTGAGTAGATAATTCACTAGAAACAGCTATATAGAACTCATGGTTCTGGAGGCTGGACAAATTGAAGAAATGGCTCTGGTATCTACTGGTGTCCAGTGAGGCCTTCTGGCTACACGATAACATGGCTGAATGTGTCACCTGGCAAGACAGAGAAAGCATGTCTCCCATTTCTTGTCTCTCAGTAAAGCTACTAATGCCAAGGGACCAACCTTTCTGTCCACATCTCATCCTAATTACTTCCCAAAGGTTCCACCTCCACAGACCATGGACATATAACTTTGGAGATCATTTCCAGCATGTTAGTGTGAAAAGCAGACCCAAACCACAGCCCATTGGTCAAATAAGTGGGGGGTCATAATAATAGCATGCAAGGAATTCTGGGAAAAGTTGCCAGCTCCATGTGAAGTGAGGTTATTTTTTTCTTCACTCTTGGCTCCCTCCTCTCCTTTATTATTATTATTTTTAAAACATCAGTTAATGGTATCACCATTGACTAAATTTAGAAACCTTGGAACCAACCTTCTTGCCCTCAATTTTCCTAGTTTAGAAAATGCATGCCAATTCCTGTTTCCTAGATGTGTTTTGAATGTGTTTCCTCCTCCCTGCCTAGCTGTCCTCATCCTCCTTCAGCATTACATATCTTGTAGCTGGGTTGCTGTGATCACCTAATCATGTTCCCACAATGTATCTTGCAGTCAGCCTTGGCCATCCCTCTGCGACCCCAAGTCTGAGCATACAGGCTGAACAAAGCTCCTCAGAGGGTAGGGGATAGAGCCTAGACTTACCTCATCATTTCGCCTGCTTTCCTGCCTTCCTCTCTAGCTACCATTCCTTTAAGACCTCTTCAGCACATGCTGTCCTTCACACAGCAGTGTTTCTCACATTTTTTCTTTTCTTTAAAGTTCTCTTCCATTCCATGCGCTTCTGATACACTATCAGCTATACTAAAAGACTCAGGTCAGCTGTCATCTCCAAGAGACCTTGTCCTCCATAATTCCTTCTCCTGCTCTTCTGTGCTGCTGCTTTGTGTTCCTTGGTGAAGTTTCTTCTATGCTTTTATTTTTATTTGTTGGTTTTTTGATGATACTGGGGTTAAAATCAGGGACTGAACTTGGTAAATTACTCTACCACTTGAGCCATGTCCAATCCCATTTTGCTCTTGTTCAAATCAGGTCTTGGTTTTTGTCTCAATACAATCTTCCTAACCTTCCTACATAGCTGGGATGACAGCTGTGCTCTATCATAATCAGTTTATTTGCTGAAATGTGCACTTGATAATTTTTAACCTGGGCTAGCTTTGAATGCTGGAGTTGCAGGCATGAACCCACCATGCCCAGTTGGAATGCCTCTTATCACATATATTAGGTTAAGTTCTGTCTTTCCTGAAGACTAAGAGCTCACAGAGTTGGAACTTTGTCTTATTCTCCTGTTTCCAGAGCTTTGGGTAAAGGTATTGAATGAATGACTGTTTAAATAAAAGATTATTGAGCCAGGTGCTGGTGGCTCATGCCTGTAATCCTAGCTACTCAGGAGGCTGAGATCTGAGGATTGAGGTGCAAAGCCAGCCCAGGCAGGAAAGTCTGTGAGACTCTTACCTCCAATTAACCACCAGAAAACCAGAAGTAGTGCTGTGGCTCAAGTGGTAGAGCGCTTGCCTTGAGCTGAAGAGCTGAGGGACAGTGCCCAGGCCCAGAATCCAAGTCCCATGACCAGAAACAACAACAACAACAACAACAAAAAAACAAACAAAAAAAAGAAAGGAAAAAGATTATTATGTATTCCTACTCCTTGGTTCCCCTAACTATGCTATCATGTGAGACTCATTTGAAAATTTTAGCACCAGAAAAACCTTTAATATGGAACATACTCTATTTATATATTCTCTTTCCACTCTTGTGGCTCTTGTTCTCAATTAGTGAGGCAGGGCATGAATCTCACAACTCTCAGGAAACTGTATTGGTCTTTTAGTAATGCAGGTTATAAAAGAAGGTCAATCCTGTTTCCTGATCTTGGTGTATATACTTACACTACTCTGTGTACCAGATTAGATCCTCACTAAAGCTGACCATTTAAAACATTCATTTTTGGGGGCTGGGAAGGTGGCTCAGTGGTAGAGTGCTTGCCTTGCATGCATGAGGCCGTGGGTTCAATTCCTCAGCACCACCTAAGCAAAAAAGAGAAAAACTGGAAGTGGCTGTGGCTCAAGTGGTAGAGCGCTAGCCTTGAGCTGAAGAGCTGAGGGACAGCGCCCTGGCCCAGAGTTCAGGCCCCACGACTGGGACCCCCCCCCCAAAATTTATTTTTTTATTCTCAGTAATGCTTTGCATATCCCAGAAAAACACCCCGGAATATCTACCTTTCATAGTTACTTTCCAGGTCACCCCGCCTATGGGTCCCAGGTCAGAGAGAAAGTAGCCACAGAGTACAAAGGAGATAGGAGAGAGACCTGGGAGTGATGGAGCACATGCCCAGAACTGCTTGATGGACTTTGCCTTGTATGGACCTGACAAAGCAGGGATGAAATGCTTGCCTTCTTGTAACCTGTTGCCCAGTGAAAAAGAAGGGTGGGATGTGAGAGGACAGAAGTCTTTCCCTTGCATATCTATTTGTAGCTGATTCTCTTCATTTCCTCCACACGTTCTGGGTAGTTATCAATGTAGTTCCAAAGAAACACTTATCAGAAGGGAAACATTGTTCTATAAACACAAGGAAAAGTATGTGTGAAGACAAGAGATAAATATGTGAATTTTCTGAGGTGATTATGTATATTCACTGGAAATGCCAGTAAATACTACTTCATTGAAACTATGTAGGAAGGAAAAATGAGGAACAGACCTAGCATGAAGGAAAACTGTGTCATTAATCAAATGTATATTTAAGCCGGGGCTTGCAGTTCTGTGGTGGAAGTTGTCAGTATATTTGAAGGCCTGGCTTCAGTTCATAAAACATTCCCCCGCCCTTAAAAATAGAGCCAAAATGTACATTTGGCTGTTACTGGGATATATTTTAAGGCTGGATTAGTGGTTTACACCTGTAATCTAAACTGCTCAGGAGACTGAGACCTGGAAGATCATAGTTCAAAGTCAGCACTGGCAGAAAAGTTCTTCAGATTCAACCTAAGAATAACCAGTCAAAAGCCAGGCTGGAGGTGTGGCTCAAGTGGTAGAGCTCTGGATGTTGGCAGAAAGCCAAGCAAGAGATCAAGTCCCAGTTCAGTCCCAGTATTGGCATGGACATGTGTATACACATACGTATATACATACATGCACATGCCAAGATGAACTATTTTAGTTTAATGTGATTACCTAGAAATGCAAATCAGTAACATATGGTATTGAAAATTTTCAGATTGACTAATAAGTTATTTTATATCCGAAAGAATATGTACAATTATATAAATTGTATAATAAATTGTATAATTACATAATTATATAATTGTTATATAAAACAATTTAGGACATGATGAAGTCAAGTAAATGTAACATCTAAAGCCATTCTTAATGCTTACTAGTCTGTGCTCTTCTTACAGGATATAAATATCCAGTATATGGGGTCCAGTGGCATCCAGAGAAAGCACCATATGAGTGGGACTCAAAAGGCATTTCCAATGCACCTAATGCTGTGAAGACTGCATTTTATTTAGCAGAGTTCTTTGTTTCTGAAGGTAATACATGGGTACATAAATTTCTCTCTTCAGTGATTTTTGGTGGGGAGGAGGGTTGTTGTTGGGATTTGAACATAGCACCTTCCACTTATTAAACAGGCCCTCTACTATGTGAGCCACTGACAGCCCTTTTTGCATTGTTTTACATTTGAGATAGGTTCTTGCTTTATGCACAACTGTCCTGGATCTTGATCCTTCTATCTGTGTTTCCCCTGAAGCTTGGATGACAGGCACATGTCAAAGTATCCAGCCATTGGTTGAGATCGGGTCTTAACTTTTTTTTTTTTTTTCGGGTCTTAACTTTTGCCTAGCCATGAACCACAATCCCACCATCTCCTGCCTTCCAGTAGCTAAGATCACAAACTTGAGCCTCTGTGCCCTACTATAGTTTGGAAGGAAATTGCCCTTGTTTAGATTTAGATTTCCATCTTTTTTTTTAAAAACCTAAAATGTCTATGAGATCTAGACATCGTACTTAAAAACAAATAATAAACAACGTGAAAGTATTAAAGCTGAGTTATTCAGTAATCAGGCAAAGCCAAGCCAGTTAATTTGTGTCATACACGCAACAGAAGGTTGAATTCCTTTCCTTTTCTGTCTTTATTGAAGCTTTTTATTTAGTTTTCCTTCATTACTCTACTTATTTAGGGAGAAAGCCTGAATTAGAACAACTTTGTGAGAATTACATGTTATTTTTCCAGGATAGTAATGTAAAGCAATACCCACTAGTATGTGGCTTTGAGGCTAACTGCCTGCAAGTACTGGCACACTGGAGGAAATTACTAATGTTGCCCATCTTTTGGTGATGGGAGAACAGAGATTTTCAGAGTATTTTATGCCTTTAGTTTAATTGAGAGTTTGATAGTGGGTACTTTTTTTCAGTTAGTGTTATGAGTTTAAGATAGCTTATAAGAGGCAGGATGGCACTCAAGGCAGGGCCATGTGAAGACATCCGGAGGATTTTTTTGTCTTAACTCAAAGCTTGTCCCTAAGGTTTTATCTTCCCCTTTGTTCTCACTTTGAAGCCAAGTACTTTCTACTGGGTTCATTTTTCTTTACGAAAATGGATAGTTTCAAGACAAAAAATCCAAATTAAAAACAAAACAACAACAAAAACTGTTCTAATGACATTAATCTGAAGGACTATTTTTCTGTCCTCTCTATGGGGGATGAATAAGAACAGCAATGGGCAGAGTAGTTTTTCTGTAGTGTTTTTAATTTTTTTTTTTTTTTTTTTGCATGGTACTGGAGTTTGAACTCAGGGCCTGGTACTGGGGCTTGAACTCAGGGCCTGGTACTGGGGCTTGAACTCAGGGCCTGGTACTGGGGCTTGAACTCAGGGTACTGTCCTTTTGCTTTTTTATTCAAAGCTAGTGCTCAGCCACTTGAGTCACAGCTTCACTTCCATCGTTTTGGTAAGTAGAGATGAGTCTCATAGACTTTCCTGCCTGTCCTAGCTTCAAGCCAGATCCTGTTTTTCCATAGCTACAATTAGATGTGTGAGGCACTAGCACCCGGCCTTAGCAGTATTTTTTTTTTATTTTTGCCAGTCCTGGGGCTTGAACTAAGGGCTTGAGCACTGTCCTTGAGCTTCTTTTGCTCAAGGATAGCACTCTACCACTCGAGTCATAGTGGCACTTGTGCCTTTTTCTGTTTATGTGGTGCTGAGAAATCAAACTCAGGGCTTTATACATGCTAGGCAAGCACTCTACCACTAAGGCACATTCCCAGCCCCCTTTGCTGTAGTTTTAATCAATGGAGCCCCTGGGTCTTTATCTGCCACTGTTTTTCCCTCTCAAAATACCAAAGGAGGCTATCTTTATTTTGAGGTTAAGGTGTATGTTCTCACTTTTTGCATCTAGACTTAGCCCTGTCAGACTTCCCATGGTACTTCTTTTAATCTCCTAATTCTGCCTTGTCTGGAAAATACCTCTTAATTCTCCATCTGCCTTCTCTTCTTCAGTTTCTTCATCCTTGCAGCATCTCAGTGGTTATGCACTAGGATAACAGTGCACAGTGAATTTCTGTGTGCTTACCGGGCTGGACTTCTCCAATGTGAGGCCCCTGCCTTGTCTCTGTCACCATCCCCAGGTTTTTCTTAGTATGTGTTTGAATGAACTGAGGAGCAAGTACAACACAAGATCTGATGCAGGGCAGGTTCATCTGCTGGCACTATAAGTAACTGGTCTACATCAGATGCACCTGTACTGGAGGGAAATTCTGTGAAGTATTTCTCTTCTTGCTGGCCTCTTTTTCACTTACTGTTGATTGCTGGATGAAGTATTGTACAGTAGTCTTTTGAAAACCCTGTCATCCACTCATTTTTTCTTTTTTCTTTTTTTATTGTAAAGGTGATGTATAGAGGGGTTACAGTTACTTAAGTCAGGTTGTGAGTACATTACTTTTTAAAAAAAATTTTTTTTATTGTAAAGGTGCTGTACAGAGGGGTTAAGACAGTTACATGAGTAAGGCAATGAGTACGTTACTTTTCAATCATTGTTACCCCTTCCCTTATTGTTGTCCCACTATCCCCTCCCTCCCCCCTCCCCCACTCCTCCCCCATTGCCCCCTCCCCATAGTTGTAGAGTTTGTTTCCAGTATACTGTCCTCTGGGTATCCTTGTTGCAATGGGTCATCCTGTGTCCTTGTTTCAGCATTTTGTTATTCCCCTTCCCCTCCCCAGATTAGACAAATGCATATACAAGATTCAGGGTACCAAAATCAAGTACAGTGATAACAGGGGATATACCATAGGGGAAAGAACATACAAAGGAAACAAAAAAAATTTCATAGTACATTTGAAGCAATAACAACTAAGACCTCTTATGTCCATTTGAAGTTCATTTTACTTAGTATCATCTTATATGGACATATGTACATAGCTTTTGAGCTTTTCAGCTCATCTGATAAGATTATCATATATATATATGATATATAGTGTATATATATATATATATGTATATATATACACACACACACACACACACACACTAATTATTGTGAACAGCAAAAAAAAAAAAAAAAAGAAAGCTTCTTCAGTAAATGGTGCTGGCAAAATTGGTTAAAAACCTGTAGAAAACATTTCTTTTTGAACAATGTTACCCCCTCCCTCATTTTCTCCTGCTTTCCCCCTGACTCCCCCTTCCCTAAAGTTGTAAAGTTCATTTCTAGTGAGTATTGCTGTTGAATTGATTCACCCTTTTTCCCACCGTTTCTGATTCCCCTTTCCTTCCACAAATCAGATAAACTTACATATAAGACAAAAGGTACAGAAATAAAAAACAGTGATAACAGGGCCTAAACTAAAGAGCGGGGAAGAAATAACTACAAACAGTACATTATAAAAGCCTCTTATTTCTATTTGTTGGAGTTCATTTTGATAAGCTTTATTTTTTATGGTCATATGCACCTAGCTATTGAGCTATTATGATCCTCTACTGAGAATATCACAGATATATTCTAGTTATTACAAATAAGGGAAACCATGAAGCCTGTGTTTCTTTGGGTCTGGCTTGCTTCACTTAATATAATTTTTTCCATTTCCTTATGAATGGGACATTATTGCATTCTTTCTCATGGAAGCATTGTGTATAAATATCGCCTTTTCTTGATCCATTCATCTATGGGGGGAGGGGCGGCTCTGGGTTGTTCCATATCTTAGCTATGGTAAATAATGCTGCACTGAACATGTTGTGCTGGTATGTTTGGTATGGTCTTAATTGTGGTCATTTGGGTAAATGCCCAGGTGTGGGGTTGCTGAGCTCTATGTTTAGTCTTTTGAGGAACCTCCATACTGCTTTCCAGAGTGGTTGAGCAAGTTTAAATTCCCACCAACAGTGTAGTAGTGTTCCCTTTTGGCCACATCTCCACCAGTATCAGTTACTGTTAGTTTTCTTGATAATGGCTATTCTAACGGGGGTGAGGTAGAGTCTCAGTGTTGTTTTGATTTGCTTTTCTTTTATGACCAGAGCTATTGAACATTGCTTCATGTGTGTATTGGCCATACTTTTTTCCCCTTTTATCACCATATTTGTTTGTGTACCTTTTGTCTTGCATGTAAGTTTATCTGATTTGAGGAAGGGAAGGGGAAGTACAGAAATAGTGGGCAAAAGGATGAACTGTCCTGGCAGGATTGAAAGCTGCTCCTTTGAATTTGAAATTCAATGTGATATATCACCTCAGGACTTTGGTAAAAAGAGGACTTAGCCTCCGTTGTTAGATTTACAATCTAATACCTACATGGCCATTTTACCTACCTCTGTTCATTAATTGTGAGCTTTTCTCAACAAACCATAAAGATATCAGGATGTTTCCTTTGTATCTTCTTCCCCCTATGGTATATCCCCTGTTGTCACTGTACTTGATTTTGGTACCCTGCATCTTGTATATACATATGTCTGATCTGGGGTGGGGGAAGGGGAATAACAAAACGCTGAAACAAGGACACAAGATGACCCATTGCAACAAGGATACCCATAGGACAGTATATTGGAAATGAATTTTACAACTTGGGGGGTGAGAGGAGAGGAGTACTAAGGGAGGTGGGGGAGGTAAGGGATAGTGGGACAACAACAAGGGAAGGGAAGGGGTAACAATGATTGAAAAATAATATACTCATTGCTTTACTCATGCAACTGTAACCCCTCTGTACAGCATCTTAATAAAAAAAGATATATATATAGATAGATAGATAGATACATAAAGAAGATATATATAAATTTTAAAAAAGATAGTGAAACTCACTAGAAACTGTGTTGGAAATGAGCTATACAACTTGGAGGGGAGAGATTCGGGAAGGAAAACAGTGGGAGAAAATAAGGGAAGGAGTGACACTGTTCTAAAATAATATACTCAGTACTTATGTAACTGTAACATCTGTACATCTGTATATCACCTTTACAATAAAAAAGAAAAAGAACCAAAAACTGTACAATGACAAATCTCTTGTTTTCATTTCTTGGAGCTCATTTTGATAAGCATCATTTTATATGATCACATATGCACATAGCTATTGAGCCCTTGTGATCCTCTCCTAAGAATATCCTCTTTTGGTCTCACTGTATGAATGTTTAGAAATTCTATTTAATTAATCATGTCCAAATGTAATTTTTTGTCTTTTAGTATCCATTGGGTTTATGTATAGATTTATAGGCACATTCTAATGGTTACAAATGAGGGAAACCATGAACATAGTTGTGCTAGTAGGTTTAGTGTGGTCTTGATTGTGGTCACTTGAGTAAATGCCCAGGTATGGTATTGCTGGGTCATAGGGGAGCTCTATGTTCTATCTTTTGAGGAACATCCATACTGCTTTCCAGAGTGGTTGAACAAGTTTACATTCTCACCAACAGTGTAGTAGTGTCCCCTTTTGAGACTGGGGTAAGGTGGAATCTCAATATTCTTTTGATTTGCATTTCTTTTATGGCCAGAGAAGTTGAGCATTTCTTCATGTGCCTATTGGCCACTCTTATTTCTTCTTTAGAGAAGTCTCTCTCTAAGTGTTTAACTCATTTTTTAATTAGGTTATTGTTTCTTTGAAGATTTGTTTTTGAGGGGTTTACTTTTTTGAGCTTTTAAGTATATTTTAGATATGAGACCCTTGTCTGATGTATGGTCAGTTTAAAAAAAAATACTTTCTTTGTCTTGCAGCTCGAAAAAACAATCATCACTTTGAGTCTCCCAGTGAAGAGAAGGAATCCCTGATTTATCAGTTCTCTCCAGTTTATACTAAAAATTTTTCTTCATTCCAGCAATGTTATATGTTTGATTGAAAATCTTCAGTGTGTCAACAGAGCAACTTTGGAAAAGTCCTTGAGTCAACTGTTATAAATTGCTAATCATGGCTATAGGAGAAAGCCAGAGATTTCTTCTGTATGTGACTGGCTTTGATGCTTTATCATGAACATGATTATTTACTGCATGTAATAATTGAATGACAAGACAGATGAATAATCAGTATTTTTCATAGAAAAGCCTTCTTATACCTGAAGATTAGAAAAAATAAATTTATTGAGTGTATAAATTTTTATTCAGGTTTATTGATCTGGAAATAAATCATTGTATAATTTCCTCCTCCCATTTTTGCTAAGGACTTTAAAAATTCTATCTCTCCTTTCCTGGGATGTTTCATTTCTTTGGTAATCAGGAATTTTCTGTATTTCATTGTATGTTTGTGGTATATATGTAGCAATATACACAGACATCCCCTTGCCAGCTCTGTTTTACCTCAGTCATTGGACACACATGGTGTCTTGAACTTTTTAACCTTACACAGTGTAGACTTTGGTAAATTTCTGTAATTTTTTTTTTGCCAGTCCTGAACTCAGAGCCTGGGCACTGCCCCTGAGCTTCTTTTGTTCAAGGCTAGAATAATACCACTTGAGCCACAGCACCTGGCTTTTTCAGATTATGTGGTAGTGAGGGATTGAACTAAGGGCTTCATGCATGTTAGGCAAGCACTCTACTACTAAGACACATTCCCAGCCCTCTGTAATTTCTTGTAACTGAATTATTCTTCATGGAAAGTAATTTTTAAAACTATGGCACATTTATTTTGGTACATTTTAATTATAGTCCTCTTATGTGTTCCACCCTTGTCTGTAACTTACCATCACTTTGAAAGTCAGAAGTTTAAGAATTCCATCAGGAGAAGCAATTGGCTAGAAAAGAGGAACTTCTGATCTATACTTAATAAATAGTGTTTACACATCTGTGTTTTGTGCCTTTCAGAGCTGTAACTGTAGAAGAAAAAAAATGGGAAACTGGGAGAGGTGTTGGGAGACATTGTGAATGGCTTTGGGGGCAGATAGAGAAAAGGAATAATCTAAAGATACTGAGATAAATCATGTTTTTGGGTAATAAGGACAAATATAGAAACAAAAATAGGAATTATAAATGTCATCATCCAAGAAAGAATTTTAATAAAAAATATGTCAGATGTTTCCTTGGTTGACTTTTTTGTTCTGAATATTGTTTCTGGGCAAGTTTGTTTCTGAATGGTCATTTGTATCTGAATGGCTAAGGTCATAGCTGAATGACTAAGGTCATCATCTTCCACCACTAGAAGAGGTAGATGTACTAACACTACTCACCAGACCAGGCCTCTTTCCAACCCCTTTGCATTGGATCTATATAGATTTACTTGTCTTTGTAGAGCACTGATAGTATGTCATATCATATTCATGCTACATTCATCTTCCTCCCCTGAGTACTGGAATCTAACCACATCACTGTCTATTGGTCATGAGTAATGCAAAAAAAACAAAACAAACTAGGAACAATCTTGTTTTTCACTCGTTAAATTTATCATTTTAAAGACCATCATTGATTTTTGAAGTCTTGCTTGAATAACTTATTCCAATAAAAGGATTTCTTTCCAGTAGTTTTTATTTATATCTATTTATTTTTGTAGTGCTTGGGATCAAACAAGGGCTTTGTACAAGATAGAGAAGTGCTCTAACTCTGAGCCACACTTGGAGCCCCAAGAATCTCTTTTAGTGTTGCCCACACCCTGTCTTCCATACATCATCTCCAGCAGGAAGAAGAGGCAGGGACTCAAGGGCAAGTATGGAGACCAGACTTTTCAAGCAAAGACTGTCCTCATCAAGTCAGATGCCACTGTATCAGTGGAAATGAGAGGCTTCTTGGTTAGAACAGCCTCCTGCTGTTGCTGAGAGGCAGTCTGGAGCCTTTAAAGGAAAGAGTGGCCACTCTGGCATCTGCCTGATACATAGTGTGCAGGCTGAGGAGGGAATGGGCCAAACACCTGCCAGCAGGTTGACAGCAGAGATGATGGAAAAGTATTACCGAGGGCATTTGGGGAGGGGAAGGGATATAACAAAATGTTTAAATAAGGATACAGGTTGAGATGTACAAGACACTATGTTGAAAATGAACTTTACAATTTCGAGGGTGGGGGGGGAGGGAGGAGTTGGGGAAGGAAGGGATGGTAGGGGATAAACAAAGGAGGAGGTAACTGCTCCATAGGAAATTTACTAATTACCCTACTCATGTAACTGTAACACCTCTGTACAATATTTTCACAATAAAAATGTATATGGAAAACAATGACTGAGGGCTTGTGTGTAGATTAGCAAAAGGAACAGCACAAAAGAATGAAAGCAAGAAGGATTGCATAAGCCTGGGCCTTTCTACACAGAACAGCCACAATATATACCCAGGCTTCAGCTTCAGTGACTGGTTCTGCACTCATTTTCATTTAGGTCCTAAAGGGCCTACCATTGTACTTAATTTGAGACCTTGCACAAGATTTTGTTGTTGTTGTTGTTGTTGTTGGTTTGGGGCCTCAACTCTGGGCCTGGGCACTGTCCCTCAGCACTTCAGCTCAAGGCTAGTGCCCGATCACTTGAGTCACAGCACTACTTCTGGCTTTTTCTGCTTATGTGATGCTGAGGAATTGAACCCAGGGCGTCATGCATGCAAGGCAAGCACTCTGCTGCTGAGCCACCTTCTCAGCCCCACAAGATGTTTTATGATGCATGTCCAGTGTCGTCTCACTCCTTATTGAGGAGCAGTGAAACCCAAACCTTGTAAGTAAGCTGAGATTCTGGTTAGGATGGCCTTGTGCCTTCTAAAAGTACAAATCACCTGAAAGTACACATCCTATTGTAAGGTGAATTATCCCAGAAGCCACACTTTGGAAGATGGAATATTGGAGTCTTTATTATAACACAGCATTGTTACAATGGGCAGTCTGTAGACTGCTAGTGTTATAAATACTCCAATATTCTATCTTCCACAGTGTGGCTTCTGGGGTAATTCACTTTAAAACTCTATGGGGTCTTTTTGTCTACTTTTTTGTGTGCGTGAAAATACCTTATAGAGGGGTTCCAATTACATGGGCAAGATAATGAGTACATTTCTTATGAAACATTGTTGCCTCCTCCTTTGTTTCCCTTTCCCATCCCTTCCCATATCCTCCCTCCCTCTCCCCCCCCAAGGTTGTAAAGTTTGTCTTTTGACATAACGACTTGTACATCTCATTGTTGCAAAGGGTCCACCTGTATCCCTATTTAAATGACTTGCTTTTTCCCTTCCCCTCCACAAATTATACCAACATCAAATATGGTGAAAGCAGGGGTTATACCGTGGGGGAGGGACATACAAAGCAACAAAGAAATAATCTTATAAATATGTTAGAAACAATTGCATGAAAGAAAAAAAACATTTGAATACTTATCTTGGGGTTCATTTCACCTAACATCAACTTTGTCTACTTAACAGAACTGCGAAGAACATACATTGAATTTTCTCAAAGGGGAGTGTTAAGGTCGTTTACTCCTTTGAAGGTTTGTTACTTTTATTTGGAATTGAATTTGATTATTACACTTATTTATTCTAAAGCTTTTATTCCATATATCATTTTCATACTAAATAGCTTAAAATTAATCTAAGTGTTTTGCAATCATATCTAGAAACACTAGATGTCAGAAGAGAACCAGGTAACTTGGTGTTAATCTGTTTTCATTTGTGAAGTATATTTTAGGAACACTACAACCTAAAGAGTGTTTCCTAGTACAATTATTATTTTTATTTAAATAATAATGGCTATAAAATATAGACAAGCCAACTCCTGGATGTTTTTCTTGCTATATTCAAAGAGGTCCTGGATGAGTCAAAAAAAATTTAAGTATTAAGGACCCAAGCCTTTCACATACATAAATATTTGGATTGAATATGAAATTCAAAACCCTTTCCTCTGATGCCCAATTGGCAAGATCTAGGCTTAAGAAGTTTTTTTTTTTTTTTTTTTTTTTTCTGGGTAGTAGAACCAACTCCTCATATGTGAAAATCTGGTTGTGTGTTCCTTGATCATCTGTAAAGCAGAGGGAGAAGTGTTTTAATCAAACATGGATGTGGTTTATATTTTCCTCTACAGATTTAAGCTTTCATCTTATTTTCAAGCCCTTCATGGCTTCTCCTTCGGGTTTAAGGAAAAGCCCTTAGTAGATTTTTCCCTCTTTTTTTGATTTGCTAATTTATGCACATATTTGGCATGCTTTTAGGCTTGCAGTTTTCTGGTATTTATTATAGTTTCTTATAAACTTAATTTAGAGCGAGGATGTTTCAACATACAGAATTGAATATAATTTTTTTAACATTTTTTGCTACTGTTAGAATCTCCCAAAAGCTCTCTCTCTCTTTTTTTGAGAAGTTCAAGGGTTAGAAAAAATTAGAGAAACTTAAAATGGAAGAGTTTAGATTGTCACAGTAGGCTGCAGGAATTTGTTATTTACACTAACAAAGCTTGAACATTATTTGTTTTTGGTTAGATGCCTTACCTCAGGGTTGCATAGAACTGTTCACAAACTAAACTCACAGTCTCTTGTCCAGTTCATGGCTCATATTTTCCAGCTTTCAAGATGGTAAGACAGGAGGAGTAAACCAAAGGAAGTCAAGCATCAGGTTCAATTTCTGTTGTTTTCTAACTAACTTCCGGCAAACCTTACCATTACTTAACCCTGTAACTTTACACTGTGAGAACCTAAGGTCTGTTTAAACTTTCCAAAGTTCATTTTTTTTTTCTTTCAGTATGGTATTGATGGTTGAACTCAGGGCCTCTCACTCTTATTTGGCTTCTTCATTCAAGACTTGTTCTCTACCACTTGAACATGCTTTCCTTTCTGGCCTTTTGATCCTTAGATCTCAGCCTCCTGAGTAGCTAGGATTATGGTGTAAGCCACTAGTGCCCTGATCTCCTTCAAGTTTTAAAACTCAGAGTAAATAGCTCCATAGACTCCGATAATTTGAAAAAAACTATGTCAGGAATTTTAATATATATTATTGTTATTGTAAAGGTGATGTACAGAGGGGTTACATAAGTCAGGTAAAGAGTACATTTCTTAGCTGGGTGCCAGTGGCTCACACCTATAATCCTAGCTACTCAGGAGACTGAGATCTGAGGATCACAGTTCAAAGCCAGATTGGGCAGGAAAGTCCGTGAGACTCTTTAATCTGCAATTAATCACCAGAAAACTAGAAGTGGTGCTGTGGCTCAAGTGGTAGAGAGCTAGCCTTGAGCTGAAGAGCTGAGGGAAGCACCCAGGCCCAG